TGATCTTCCTTTGGTCGATCCTGTCTACATAAGTACGATTATAGAAAGAAGTGGGAATAGATTTATTCAGGCCTAAAAATGTATTATGCAGACTCTGACAGGCCTCTGGCACACTGCTCAGGACTTTTCAACTTTGGGTTCAGGTCACAGTTCTGGAAAGTTAGACCCTACTCTTTGTTAACAGTGCTTCAAGCACTATTCCAAGCATCCAGTCTCCTACCTGAGGCTTCACCAATGCTGTGGTATAAAGAGAAGGATGGCAGAGTTGGCATCTCAAGCAAGCAGTCCTCCACACAGAGATGGCTGCTGGCAGAGAAATGCTTCTGTCTCTTGTCTATCAGAAAGACATCTGTGAGACAAAACGTGAGATGCTTCTGTCTTACACAGCAATAACAGTGAGCTCTTGGCAATGCTGCCCTGATTTCCTTTGCCATGTGCTCAGATTCAACCTTCCTGTCTGTTTTTCTTGTTCCCTGGGATCACAGTCCCAAGTAGAATGTATCTATATTTTGTTTCAGGCACTACATTCAAGAATAACCTAGACTAAAGCAGTAGGTAAGCAGGCTATTGATATTACATAATATGGGAACATACTTTGCTTGACTTTGTGCAAACTATAAAGTAACATTCACTCAGTTGGCAGCATTGTTGGTGGCTTCCATCTTTTTCCTTTTTGAAAGCTCACAGTCCATTGTGAGCCTGACCGCCTAAAGAAAACCAAAAAGGTGGTACAGGTTAGCTTGTGACTGCGCAGGCAATTTTCTTTGGGATGATGGCTCTGAGCACTTTCCCTGAGGAAGGTGGTCCTTGGCAATTTGGATGGATACTCGGGTGTAATGTGGATGAGTCTTCATCCTAATTAATCAGGAAAAGCTTGCAGTTGCTCTGGAAACAGCATACCGAGTTCTCGAGAGTCCTTAGGAAAAAGCTACGTCTTTTACTGCTATAATGTTTTTCTCTTAAGAAAATCGAACATAACTTTCAAAATGTCTGCTTTACTGGAATACTTAGAGGGTTTTCTTCGTTCATGAAAAAAATATCACAGAGGGCCCAGAGAGCTACTAGAAATAAATTAAGACTGCCCGTATGCTAGCCTGAGGTAAAGGTGCTAACAATTCTTTTTGTTGTTGTTGCTTAAACTCATTTGAGGTTCTAAAGACATCACAGAGAACAACACTGTTTACAACCGCTCCCTTTTAAAAATTCTAAACACTGAACTGAACTGGAATCCAGTTGCAGAGAAGGAGGAGTGATGAGCAAAGGGTTCAAGACCAGGCTGGTGAAACACACAGAAACAGATGACCTGAACAAGGGGGAGCTCTTGGCCCCCAGACTGATCACTGGGAAACCAGCATGGAAATGATCCAGACCCCATGAATGTCAGTGTGGAGGCCTCGGAAACCTATGGGGCCTCTTGTAGTAGATCAGTACTTATCCCTAGCATAGGAATGGACTTTGGGAGCCCATTTCACATAGAGGGATACTCCCTCAGCCTAGACACACAGGGGAGGGCCTAGGCCCTATCTCAAAGGATATGACAGACTCTGAAGACCCCTCCATGGAAGGCCTCACTCTCCCTGGGGAGCAGAATTGGTATGGGATAGGTAGGGTGTTAGTGGGGGACAGGGGAGGAGGGGAGGGAGAGGGAACTGGGATTGACATGTAAAACAATCTTGTTTCTAATTTAAATAAAAAATGGAGAAAAAAGGATGAGAAAAAAGTAAAAATTCTAGTGGGACAGATGATGAGAGAACAAATAAATTAGTAACTAAAACATACTATATTTGAAATAAGAACTATAGACAAAAATAAACTATGGATGGCAAATATGGGTAAAATTATGTTCCTTCTACAAAATTCTTCTATTTAAATCCTTACAATCAGGACACCATAACTTGTATATCTGGAGATTTTATTTTTAATGATGTTCATGTATCTGTCTGTGGTAGGTATATGGAGGTGCCCATGGAGGCCAGAAAAGTGTTAAACCCTCCCTCCCCCCACACACCAAGTTACAGTTAAACAAAGCTGTGAGCTCCTGGTGTGGGCATCGGGAACAACACTTTGGTCCTGAGTAAGAACTGCAAGAGCTCTTTACTCCCGAGCCATCTCTCCAGGCCTTGGAGGTGAGACTTAAGGAAATGATTAAAATGAGAACTTCAGGGTGGACCCTACTCTAATTCACATCCTTGCCAAGAGGAAGTCTGGACTCTGAGCCTGGGGTTGCTCAACCACACAGGGACAAAGGAGAAACCAAACTTACCAACACCTTCACCTTGAACTTTTAGCCTCCATGACCAAGAAGTTTCACTTAAGCAGGCCATTTACTCTGTGTATTAGCTGTGGCAGGCCCAGAAAACTAATGCACACAGAGAGAGAATATGTAAGATTTGTTTTGTTTATTTTTTTTAACCTCAGGCCTCACAGAAAAAATAAGATTTCAACAAAGACCTGAAGAAGAAAAAAGTCAGCCAGAGGATATTTGGGGGAGGAGCATTCAGGAGAGGGAGCCCTGAGCTGGATGGACGCCAGTGTGGTTTGAGACTTAAGAATTAAATGATGAGGGTAGAAAAAGCATGAGCAGGCGGCGAAGGCAGACTGTGTGAGCGAGGATCTCAATTTATGCTGTGCATTGAGAAAATGTTTTCAAGACCTGGGAAGACATTTTGACACTGTCCAGATCGGTGTGACGGTGTGTGCCTGGTGGGTCTACTGGGCCTGGTGGGTACATAAGGCTGACACTAAAGTATAGCCACACAGAGGGCAATTCTACTTCACAAGGTAACTTTCCATTTAACTGAGTTATTTCTGGATAGATATAAAATATTTAGCTCTTTAAGTAGATATAAAACTGTTATTTATGAGAATAGTTAATTCCATTGATGGAAAACTTGGTTTCTGGATCAAGGCTCTGTTGTAAACAGGTAAACATTCTGGATAAAATGTATTTAGTAAAATTTAGAAATTGGCAATTATCTTCTCAAACAGCTTTCTGCTCTTTACTCTTTATTCCTTTCTGGAAATTTCATGTGTGTTGGGTTGCCTAATACTATTGTATAAGTCACTGAAACTCCAGTTACTAGACAACCAATACCACCACCACCACCACCACCACCACAACAACAACAACATTTTCCTCTATATCCTTTAAATTCAGGCAAATTTTACTGACTCTTCAAGTTTGGTAAAGTATGTCTCGTGTGTCAACTCTACTGATAGTTTCCAGTGATTTCAGTTATTTGTTCAGGTAGGGTTTACATTTGGTTGTGGAACACATCTGGAATTCATGCGTGAAGTCAAGTGTAAATGACACTAAATAGAAATAACTAGATTCCTTTACTAAAGAGAATACATAAGTGACTAATAATTGCATGATAGACACTTTTTGTCATTGGTCAGCAAAGATTTGTAAATTAACACCATACAACCACCGAATGTTGGTGAAGGTGTGGAGTATTGAGTTCTCATCATACAATGCTACTGGGACTGTAAACTTGAAAAGCTTGTACTGTAAATATAAGGGAGCCACAGCATTGGCCATGTCCAAGCTACTCAACATGCAGGCCTATCTATCAAGAAGCATGTATTTACATAAAGACATACAAGACTAATATTTATTCATGTAAGTATTATTTGTAAGAACACCAAACCTAGAAATAAATGTACAGTATCACTAAGGGAGACCAGACACAGAATATTTCCTTACTACATGATTCAACTTGTAGAAAATGATCACATAAATCAAGTCTATAGGCAGAATATTGATTATTGGGGCTGAAGGGGATGGGGTAAAATTGATCTAAAATTTGGTAATGGTTGCATAAAGTGAATATAGTAAAGAAAAAGTCAAATACTTTAATCAGATGAATTGTATGACCTGAACTATATCTTCTAAGAACCATTATTAATGAAGGATTTTGTGTATATTAAGAAAACTGGAGGTCACACAACATTAAGAGTAAAGTAATATTTCAAAATGACTCCTTACAAGGAACAACATGCATGAACTCAAATATAGTCTGGAATGAAAGGACCAGGGAATTACAGACTATTTGATGAATAACTTATGACAGGAAAAACAATGTCTAGAATACTTAAGGCTAAGGCAACGTCTGTATTTAGGGAGAGGGTGCTATCTTTGAACTGACTGGGATGCTGGACACTTGTAACAGTTGATATTAGCTAGATGGTTGCCAGAGTATGTTTGTTTATGTACTGAACGGTATTTGTAATCGGTATGCTATTTTCTACTCTGTATTTCAACAAACGTTAAATAGCTTAAAAAAGCTAGCTGTTCAGTAAGTGGTCTTACCAAGTAAGCACTGAAAAAAAAAAAGAACTAAAAGAATACATAAATATTTTCAAGTTGTTTTAAGTGTGTTGGGATAAAGTAGAAGAATTTCAACATTCTTCTATACACTTTTCATTATTTTTCAAATGATCACACTGGGCATATTATCACAACAAAGGAGCAATTATCAAAATATAATAGTTTATCCTATATTATTTTTACACTAAGCTAATTTAGCCAATATGTAGGATTTTTGCTCCTCACGAGAAGCGACTACTATTTCAGAATAAAAGGCTGGCCGGTGTGTGTGGCTACTGTTCTCAGTGTTCCTGGTGGTCTTATCAGGCAGAACCTCACCAGACAATCAGCCCTGGGAGGAGGAGCAAACAGTTGCGTGGTTCCCGGGGCGTGGAGCAGAGCTTGGGCAAGCAAAGCCTGAGCATCCTTACAGAACCTGGGCTCTTTCTGCAAGCATCAGGGAAGCGGCGCAAGACGAGGCTCCCACAAAGTAAAGAATTAGCCTGCCATTGCAATCTGCAAGCGTGTAAGACCCCGGGCCGTGGTGGGTGTTTCCTCCTCTTCTACAAGGTTGAGAAAGACGAGTATGTGACAGATTTGCCTCTTCACCGGGGACCCCTCGCCCCCCAGAACTGGTGACTCTTTAACCAGCGACTCTCCAGGCGGATCTTAAGGCATGTAAAGCTTTTACCTGGGCAGGCGATGGCGAGCGAGGAACCGGCGAGGGGCGAGGTGTGGCCGAATGCATCCCGAGGTGAATGATGCCCAGGACGTTCGGGATGCTCTGACTTCGGGGGCGGAGTCCACTCGGTGTCAGGATGCAGCCCGGGTGGGACAGGAGGATACTTGCATCACTTTAGCGGTTCGAGCAGTCGGAGCCGCTTCTGACTCGAGCGAGGCTCCTTGCCGATCCCGGGCAGCCCATGCGCAGCGCTCTTCCCTTTCGTTGGTTGCCGGGACCTTCACCTTTCTGACCGGTCCGCTCCGCGCTTTGCAACTTTGGTAGTAGCGCGCGGCGTGGGCGCGGCGGGCTGCTTTGCGCATGCGGGGTGCCGATCCAGACCCCGCCCACCGCTCAGACTCCTCCCACCCCTTAGCCCGGCTGCTTGCTGAGCTGTGGGTAAGAACCGGTCTCTCCTGGTGCTTGAGGGCGGAAGGACACATACAGGATTTTGAATTAGTCGTGAACACTGTCTGCCTTCACCGAGAAATACCGCCCACGCGGGACCTATGCAAACGGCAAGGTCCGGTGCTTCAACCTAGTTTCTCAGAATAAGCGATTTTTCTCCGCCAGCGTTTCTCAACCACCCGCGGTGGTGGCGATTTGGATTGGGTGATCTTGGAGTGTGTCGATAAGCTGCAGAGAGTTAGTATTTTGCAGCATCCCTGGTTTCAATCACTAGATTCCGGCTTCAACCCCCATCCCCGCCGATTCTGACAATCAAAATGTCCCCGAAATCTCCTAAGTATGTGTATGTACTTGGGATCTAGCAAAACTGCCCATATTGACTACTATTCCCACTGGCTCAAAACGCAAGGGGACGGGAAATGTTACAAAGTTAGCAACTTCAATCTGATAGAGTTAATATGCTTTAGTTTCCTCAGTTGTTCCAAAAACATTTTTTTTTACTTTATTGTTTGTTGACATAATTTAAATCAAGGATTAAGTCGATCAGATACCGCGTTTAGATGTCAATTATCTTCGGCTTCCTTCGATTTAGGGCAGTTTCCCATCCTCTCTTATGTGCTGTTTTCTCGGTATTGACTAAGGCAGGAGTTCTTCCAGAATACCCTTCACTCTATTTTGATTGTTTATGCATATTGATAAGTCTGGGGGTAATTCTACCTAGATGATGATACATCCAAGTTTTCTGTTTTCAAGTGGCTGTCTACCTGTTCTAACAATAGTTAATCTTATAAAGTCCTTTTCCTCCTCACATCCAGGGACGTGGGATGTTACCTATGTAAATTTCTACGTTATACTTGGGTCTTTATCTGTGTTTTCGCTTGTCCACACTGATAAGATATTGTCATTTTCTACATTTACCCTGTTTTAATTATAGTCTGTACAATCTATTGCAATGTCTAAAAGGGTTAGGCCAGCTTCATTGCTGCTTCTTATATTCTTGGTTTTTTTTTTCATATAAACTATAGAATATAGCTCCATTAAAATACTTTTTAAAGAAATTGACCATAATTTGATGTGTTTTCTTATCAGAGAACACGATTTGTTTTTCATTTTGAGACCCAGTTTTGTGACATTCAAGACTTTCTACTGTTTTCCATAGAGGATGATTACATGTCTGTCCAAATTTATTCCTATGATGGTTCCTTTTATGTTTGTATTGTACAGTAGGATCACCCCTGCGATTGCTTGTTGCCCCAAACAATGAACATAATGATTTTCACATGTAATTTTATATCTTGCTATTATATTTAATTTGTTATTGATTCAGGAGTTTTTCATTGAAAGCATCTCTATTCTTTTACATAATTGTAGCCATTATTCACAGAGGCTCAAATTGTCCACCCTTGATACTTCTAGTTACCTGACACAACTTTAAGTGCTTCATAGAGTCCTTTTTTCTGCAATGTTAGAGCTCTTGTCTCATTTCCAGTGTGGTTTTGTACTGTACAGCTCCAGACCTGAAACCAACACTTCCCTGGGAAGTCCTTACAGCTTCCAGGGCAAATGGCATCTGGAGAATGCAATCTGTGCACCTCAAGGATGTTCATGGCTTGGCATTGCTGCTTACTCTTCAATAAAAGATTTAGAAACATGAATTCTTTAGAGAAGAAAAAAGCATAAATTTGTGGTAATATTCAACTTCTGACAAAAGGCTGTAGGATAATTATATACTTGATATTATGTTGTTCCTTCTTTCTCATGCTGTAGATGATAAATTCCTGAATTTCATGATTATTTGTCTTTGGCTACAACATCAGAACTACTAATAAAATGCTAAATGTAGTTCATCTACCAGGATTTGTTTTACATTTTTTAAATGTAAAAATAAATTTTAAAAATAAAATTAAATACAAGCTATGGAAAAAACCCACTATCTCCTTTAATTGTATTCTTTTGAGTGTACTATCTAACTTAATTAAGTTTCTAGTTTTTATTAGTATAGCTATCTACATCTCTCCTTTTTATTCTAAATATTCTTTAGACTCTATTGTTGTGTTTTTATTTTTTCTAGAAAATCTCAATATCAGCTGACACTTCCTTTTGTCTAAATTTCATTTAATAAGAAAAGTGAAACTGTCAATGTCAGAAGTTTTTTCTATGACAGATGTTTTTTTTTTAATCACAGTTTGATGCTGTGATTTCTGGTTTATGACACTGTCAATAGAGAGTGTTATTTGTGTTATATTTCTTCATGTACTTTTTCAAAATATGCCTATTTTGCTTATAAATATGTCATAGACAATTTTAATAAATATATTTGTTAAATTTGGGCTGGATTAAGAGATTATGCACCAAACTATTATTATCTATGTATTTCAATTTTTCTTTAAATTAATTGTAATTACTTCTGTGTGAACATACTTGCTGGGTTATTGGCTATATAATTTTTCATAAATATTTTATTTTACCACAAAATACAAATTGTGGGAAAATGAGATGTGCTTTGTTCAGATGGTTTTGAGTCTGAATCTCTCACTTTTTGATTAAAAAAATCAGTTTCTTTTTATAAGCATTTTTTTGCTATACTTTTGCCTGTTCTTCCATTCATCCTTTTTGTTTTCTGAATTCATTTCTGGATTTTTTTTTTAGTTTTTTTAATTTTTATTTTATTTTATTAGTTCAAATTAGGAACAAGCTTGCTTCAGATGGCAATCCCTTCTCCCTCTCCTTCCCCCAACATCCCACCTGCCCCTAGCCATCCCCTCTCAACTCCCCAGGCAGGGTAAGGTCCTCAAAAGGGGCTCCCCAAAGTCTACCACATCATCCTTGGTCAGGCCTAGGCCCTTCCCCATGTGTCCAGGTCAAGAGAGCATCCCTTCATATGGGATGGGCTCTCAAAATCCCTTCTTATTTTTTTTAAGACCTTACATATTTAATACAGTCTGTTACCCCTGTGCAAATGGAAAAAAAATAAGTTCAACATTTCTAGAACAATATGGCTGTCTCTACAATTTTGTTTAAATGACTGCAGAGCCTGGAAAAGCTGTTGCTGCTATTAACTCTGGAAAAAAATATCCCAATTTACCGCGTTTAGTTGGCATTGTTCAAAGATGTTTTTCAGTTTTACTGTTGTCTTTTATGTGTGGCAGAAAAGGGGTCTTTTTGGGACCAGTCCATGTTTTCCCCTTTTCTAAAGAAGGAAGCCTGTGATAGACAACTGAAAGGGAATGCATCAGTGAAATGTATAACATTTGTGTGTGTAAGCTGATTTGATGGTGGTTAGTGTTGTTGAGAAAGATAGACAAAGGTCAGTTAGGAAAGCTGAGGAGGGAGTGGATCATTCCTTGTGCATCAGTGGTTGGGAAAGTCACCTAGAATGTGATTTTTGCACAAACACTTGAGGTAAGTGAGGGATGGAGTCGTTTGGATAAATGGGGAGAGAATGTTCCAGACAGAGAACAGTGTGGGCAGAGGCCCTGCAGTTGCAAGCACCCACGCTTGGATTCCTAAGCACCTTTTGCCCTTCCCAGACCATTCCATTGCAAATGATCCTTGAATATAATGGTCTTCAAGTCTCTGATGTTTCAGTGTGAACTTTGTATTCTACCTCCAACACATCAGATAGAGATCTCAGTGATAGCTTTGGGCTGTTTATCTGAAGCTTTGTGGCTAAGGGGGACAATTTTTTTTTTGTTGCAACATACATACCAGTGAAAAGTACCTTGACTAACAAAGGTTCAAAAGGCACAAAAACATCCACCCTCTACACTCAGAACTGGACAGGCTCTTTTGAGTTCTCTGGAAGCCGACTATTTGGCTTAAGACAGTTGTATCTTAAAACAAAACATCAATCTAAAACAATACAAAACAGAAAACTGTATGGCAAGGAAAGTAGTATGGAAGAGAAATATATGTAGGGAAAGTAGGGATGAGTTAAATCTGTAGACAGAAAGACAATTAGGGATGGTAACAGAGAAGGGACAAACTTTTTATCTTTAGGGGAATTCTGTCTTCTCTACATATTTTATTTGGGAACGTCTTAACTTTCTCTTTCTCTTTTCCATTTTCTTCTTTACCTTTCATTTTCTTAAGCCCAGATGTCACAGTGACGTCTGCCTAAGTCACAATTCATATAGAAAACTGAACAGTGCATTGTAAAATAGGACACAAAACAAAAGACTTCATCTGAGCTGAGATCATCGCTCTTACAGAGACTAGCGCAACCCTTCCACTGGCTTCCTCACAGCCTGGGACGGTTTCTACATTCTTGGTGTGCTATTGCCCCCTGCTGTTCAAGTGGCAGCATCGACTCCAGTAAGGAAGGCTTCAGGAAAGGTGTTTATAGCATGCTCTCAGAAAAGTTAATGAAGATTTGAACAGAACAATTTCAGAGGTTAAGTACAAAATAAATTTCAAAGAATCTTTCCCTACTCCCTGAGAGGTGGAGAAGAAACGATTCGAGTCTTTGTTTTGTTTGGGGCTGCTTTTTTCTTTTCTTTCTTTTTTCTCCCTTGATGAATTCAGTTCCCTTTTCAAGTTTGTGAGGGAAGCAAAGTCCAAG